TCACCTATTCTTTATATATGTAAAACTGCTCTTATATGATATTTTATATACACGATCCCAATGGTATACATTAATTTTATTTTTAAAAAAATTTATAACACTAGAAAGATAAATTTTTGTGAAATTTGAATTCTAATAGTTTTTCCTGAATAATTTTATATTTATCATTGGATTTAGAAATGAGAAAAAAATATTTATTTTAAAAATACCATATCTTTTTTATAATATATTATAGGATAGAAGGTATACAATAAGAAAAAAAAGTTAGAAAATATATAGATAAATACAACATGTTTATATGCACATGTCTCAATTAATGAGCATTTTGTACCAATACAAAATTATTGACATCTGCATGTTAGTAAAAACCTGTAACAATTTTATCGTATGAACCCAATTTCACTGTGATTTTGTTCCTTTTCATTTTGCATATGATCCAACACGTTTTTGAGAAGTTGACTCATAAAATCTTATGATTTTACCATATTCACGAGTTTAACAACACTGTGATGGATAATAAAGTGATTATCTTCTAAGTTGAGAGACAGCAGATGAAAATAAGCATGTTTTGTTACAAGTTATAAATCCATTTGAATTATAAGCTTATTAGGATATTTGAATTATCTCGACGACGGATACTGAACTTATAGACATCTGCTTATTTCATAATAATTTAGACACAAATTTTATAGTTATTCCAAATATTAATAGCAGCCAACCGATGTACTAAATCCAAACCCCGAGATATATAATTTCCGAAGTTATTATATCGCCTTGACTGTGAAGCGTGGAGAATGAGAGCATCTATGCATGCAATCTACATGCGCGGTTGGCTCACATTTTGATAGAGTTAAAAGGCTAAAACAAGTTTCACATTAGGAGAATCTGTCTACTGTAACTTTATTAAAGTTATATGGTTTAAAGAATCTGAATATAGCAATGCTAGAAACAAACATGATTGGGAAAATGAAACAACAATATGCAAAGCATGAATTTGAAATGCTTTTTCAGCTCAAAGGCTATGAGTGAGAAAGGAAAGAACAACTGAAATGTGCAATTCACTTAAAAGAGCTTCAATCTCATAGATCTCATCTATTTGTAGCAAGGGTGAGCAGTCGGTTCGATTCGATTATTAAAAAATACAAACAGAAGTTTTTTGTCAATGGATTGAACCGAACGAAAACAGTCGGTTTAATCTGTTTTGATTGGTTTTACCATTTCGGTTCGATTTTAAATTCAACCAACGGATTTATATGAAATCGATTCGAACCGAATAATAAGTTCAGTTCAAACTGAATAAATCGACGACAGAACTTCTCTTGATTTAACTGACCGAATGACCCAAAATGAGTCGGTGCGATTTGAGATTCAGTCGGTAAGTTTCCACCCCTAATTTGCAGGACATAGACTATGTTTTGCTGTGATTATATATAGAACAAGCAAGCGTTTATTTTTTTATTTTTAAGAAAAGAACAAGCAAAGTATCATTACATTGATTTCATTATGGTGGAAATTAATGTACTATATTACCTTCTAATAATTGCATTGTAAACCATGCAGGAGATACTAGAATCATTAGTTAGTTGTTCCCGAGGGCTGAGCATATAATGGAAAATCCAACGAATCGAACCAATGAATATTGTTTAATTTGATTTTTAATAAAATTTTCATTTTGGTTTTAATTAAAAAGGACTACTTTTTTTTTTTTTGTTGAAATGAGGACTAATTTTTTATTAATTCAGTTAATATATAAAATTGAATAACATAAAAATTCTAAAAGTCAAATTGATTTAACTTGAGAATTCAGTCGGAAAAAAAAAAAAAAAACTTGAACTAAACTAAATATATCTAGTTTAATTCGATTTGATTTTATGAACAACTTGATTCAATTTCGATAACAACAAAATATGCATATATTTTATTATTTATTTTAATTGAATTTAGCATTATTTTGAATAGTAAAATAAGAATAAACTCCATATTGCATGGTTTTCTCTCTTTATTTGATTTGCACATGAGCTACATCAATATTTGCTACTTTAAGCAAAAATGAACCAAAAATGATCCATTTGGCACCGAATCAAAACAAAGAAGGCCTTTGAAGCCTTGCTGATGTTATAATCCAATTAATGCTCCTCGAAAGCCAGAAGAACCCAAGGTCCAACGCCCAGCCAACCCAAGAAGAAAGAAAGAAGGAGAATTGATCAACGTGGAAGAAGCTGGACCAAGGCAGAAATAATCTTTAAAATGATCTTCTAACAGATCACTTGGACCAAAAAAGAAGCATTGCACCTGGTTATTGGATGCAGCTTCTCTTAATTATTTTAACAATTCTTTCCAAAAGCTGGGCGGTGGAGACTGCTTTTCAAATGCAACTTGTGCAAGTGGTGTGTGATGTGACCAATAGATGCTAAGCAAAAAATTTATGTAAGGAGCAAAGAAAGGAGTTGTAGGGGTTGGACATTCTCTTTGGGCACTTGTTGCCATGTAAGAGAACAAGGAGTAGCCAATCAAAAGAATTTCTCCAACAATTGGAGAGAGAGTCAATAGCTTTAAGCACTAGTGTTACTACAACACAAAGGGAGAAAGAGCAAGGATTTTGACAAACTTGAGACGTGAGCACCGTGGTCAACCCACCAAAAAAAATCTCAAAGTTTGTTATTTATGCCTTTTATTCCTTTTGTGTATTTATTTGTATTGATATATTCGTAATAATGCTAGGTTAAATATCTGGATCTAGTTATGAGATTTATCTATTAATTTAAAAATGCAACTTTGAATAGTTTGATTTGTGTTATATGCTTAAATTCCTGATTTAATGTGCTGATCTTAATGCATGTAATTGGTTCGGCCCTTTATTTGCATGATTTTAGATCTGATTGAACATGCATGTAATTGGTTCGGCCCTTTATTTGCATGATTTTAGATCTGATTGAACAAAACCGAGAGAGTGACAAACTAGATTGGATCTCATATATTAAACCCGAAATTTTTAAACCTAGAGATAGGCTAAGTTCTTTGAGGGCAAAATAATTAACACAGGCTTAATGAGTTGTAATTGTATTAAGTTACGAAAGTAGGTGTCGCACGGTTTTAACATTCCATTTAAACTCGAGAGATAAATCTAGATATCCTAGGTTAGTTCTCCTTCAGGAATTGGCATAAAATGTTTTAACCATGTTAAGCTACGAAAGTAGATGTCATGTGGTTTTGATGGTCCGTTGAGATTTGAGAGAGGAAGTTAGACACCATAAATCAACTATTTATAGTTTGCACTAAGAATTAATAGAGATCCCATAGCTAGATTATCTTAACAATTATTTGCTTGAATTTACTTTTGATTATCTCCACTTGCTAATTTTAATTTGCATTTATTTAATTTAATTTGAAATTTAGTTTAAATCATTTTCATTCTATCTGATCTTCCTAATAATTGTCAAACATAGAAAATTAATAGCCTATTTTCCCAATTTGTGTGAGACGATAATCTTTTTACCACTTGTACGATCTATATACTTGCGGAGCGAATATTAATTTTCCAAATTAATGGAACAAATTTTTGGCGCTATTGTCGGGGATTGGTGCGTAAAATAGATATTAATTTAAGTGTGAGACAATTAATTAGGAAATTTTCTTTGGAAATTTTCTTTTGATTTATTTTCATAAAAAAACAAAACAAAAAATATATATATTAAATATTTTCTTTCGCTTACGTTAAGTTCGTCCACGTACTTGCCTTTTTCTTACTTGCAAAACCAAAATATAATAATAATAATATAATATAATATATATTTAGATGTTCCTTTTGTTTATTAGTTTCCGTTCATTCTTTTTTATTTTCTTTTTAAATTTTATTTTGAATTTTATTTTTTCTTTTAATTAGTTGACTTATTTAATTTTTCCTTTTTATTTCTTTTTTAGATATTTAATTTAATCTTATTATCTCTTTTTAATTGTTTTTCATTTCATTTTCCTTTTTCTCTTTTTTTTTAATTCTTTTTATTTTCTTTTACTTAATTACTTAATATATTATTATATATATATATATATTATATTATATATAATATATGAAATTTTTATTTCTTTTAATTAGTTAATAATATATATAATAAATTTTAATTAATTGTTTCGTATTACTCACTTCCTTTATTTTATTTTCTTTCTTATTGTTATTTATTATTATTCTTTTAATTTTCTTTAATTAGTAATAATATATATAATAAATTTTAATTAATTGTTTTCGTATACTCACTTCCTTTATTTTATTTTCTTTCTTATTGTTTATTTAATTATTATCTCTTTTTAATTTTTGAATTTAAATTAATTTGTATAAATAAAAAATCTTTTCTTTTCTTTTATTTTTCTGATCGCTAAGCGGACTAGTCTTTTATGCTAGGATCAAGAAGTGCAGAATTATTACCTCTTGATCTAGAAATCGAAAGAACAACCCGCGCTTTGAGAAGAGAAAATCTGAGGTATCGGAGAAGAAGGCGAAGCCTTATAACAAAAAGACGTGGAAATGCAAACATAATTTTGGAAAGTGTCAAACTGACAGACTCGCCAGAGATTCCTGAACAAAATCAAGCTAGAATGAGATCGAAGACCGAGATCAACAACTGAACACGATGGCCGAAGAAAGAGCTTTGTGGGATTTAAATGTTCCTAATCTTGAAGGAGCACAACTAGCTATTGTGGGACCACCAGTTGCAGCCAACAATTTCGAGATCAAGCCATCTTTAATTTATATAGTGCAATAGTCGCAGTTTGCAGGACAACCAAATGAAGATCCTAATGTGCACATCGCCACATTTCTAGGGATTTGTGATACATTGAAAATAAGTGGCGCATTACACAAAGCAAATCATTTGAGGCTATTTCCTTTTTCGTTGCGGGATAGAGCAAAACTTTGGTTACACTCTATGCCCGCTGGATCATTCACCACCTGGGATGAATTGAGTCGAGCTTTTCTTCAAAAGTATTTCCCGCCTAGTAAGACTACAAGGCTGAGAAAAGAAATATCCAATTTTTGAATGAAGGAAGACGAGACGTTGTACGAAGCCTAGGAGAGATTCAAGGATCTTCAAAGCTAATGTCCGCATCATGGATTTGAAAAGTCAACTTTAGTACACCAGTTTTATGATAGAGCAACTCCGACAACTCGAAGTGCCTTAGATGTCGCTGCAGCTGGATCATTTTTAAAGAAAAGAATTTCTAAAGCTTATGGATTATTGGAGGAAATGGCAGCTAGTAGCTATCAGTGGAACGAAGATAGAAGTACAACAAAGAAGGTGGCGGGACTACTAGACGTAGATGGATTGATGCTTTTGAATGCTAAGTTTGATGCACTTGCCAAGAAATTGGACAACTTGAGTGTGAATACAGTAGCAACTCTGCCAATGGGATGTGAAGTTTGTGGAAATATCAATCATACAGGTATGGAGTGTCAGTATGGAACAACTGAATATACAGTGGAACAAGCCAATTATATTCAGAATAATTACCAGCCTAAACCTCGAGGAAACCCATTTTCAAATACATACACACTTGAGTGGAGAAATCATCCGAACTTTTATGGTCAAACCAGTAAAATCCACCTCCTAGACCTATCTTGACTAACAACCTAAGACTACCACCACCTGGATTCCAAAAGCCAAATATTCCTCAATCCTATCAGAATCCATAAACACAGCCTTACCAAAATCCTACATCCAATCTTGAGGCCATGTTTGAAAGTTTTCTATAGAGTCAAAACCACAGAGCAGATGCACAAGAGAAGCTTATCAGGTAGTTGAATGAGAAAGTCGATCAACTTACAACTCATCAAAAGATGATGGAGCATCAAATGGCACAACAAGCTAGCTCTTCGAACTCTAAAGCTTATGGAAAGCTTCCGAGTTAACCAGTTCCAAATTCAAAAGAGCAATGTAATGTAGTGACTTTGAGGAATAGGAAAGTTTTAGAAGATCCAAAGCTGAGACTGCAAAAGGAAAGGTTAGCTGAGAGAGAGGTGGTAAACCTAGATGAAAATCTGAGCCTACGAAGGAAGAGAAAAAGAAGGAAAAAGAATTAAAGAGATTAAGAGAAGAAGACATACAGAGAGGGATGAAAGCTTTTGAGTCGCCGATTCCATTTCCACAAAGATTGAGGCAAGCAAACCTTGATAGACAATTTGGCAAGTTTTTGGAGATGTTGAAGCAATTGTATGTCAATATCCCCTTCACGGACGTCATCGCTCAAATGCCATCATATGCCAAATTCTTGAAGAAGATATTAACAAAGAAGAGGAAATTGGGAGAACTTGAAATAGTAGCACTCACTGAGGATTGTAGTGCTGTGACTCAGAATAAACTACCACCCAAGCTAAAAGATCTTGGTAGTTTTTTTATACCATGTGAAGTAGGAGCTATGAAGATTGACAAGGCTCTATGTGATCTTGGAGTAAGCGTAAGCCTTATGCCTTTGTCTGTTTTCAAAAAGCTAAATATTGGAGAACTGAAGCCCAACAAGGTGATTTTACAACTCGCAGATCGATTAGTCAAATATGTAGTTGGAGTAGTCGAAGATATGCCAATTAAGGTTGGAAAGTTCTATGTCCCAGTAGACTTTGTGGTGCTGGAAATGGACAAAGATGTACACATTTAAATCATACTTGGTCAACCCTTCTTAGCTACAGTTGGAGCATTGATTGATGTGAAAGAAGGAAAGCTTACATTGAAGGTTGGGAAGAAGAAGTTGTTTTCAACTCGTTTGAGATGATGAAGCTACCAGCTGAATTTTCAGAATGCACGCAAGTCGATATGGTAGAAGAAATAGTGAAAGAAAAGTTTGTTAAGGAAACTCTCATCGACGCGCTAGATTCCTATCTGAAGGACACTGAAAAGGTGGAAGAAGTAGAAGAGGAAGTATAGAGCTCTACATCGAGGAGTTTTCAGAGTAATGATGAAAAGCAACCTGATCAACCTTGTTTGAAAAAAAAGGAGGAAGCACCACATGTAGAACTTAAACCTTTACCACCTGGATGAAGATAAGCATTTCTTGGCCAAAACTCTACTTATCTTGTAATTATAAATTCTTCATTAGATGATAATCAAGAAGAGACTTTATTGAATCTACTTAGGAAGGATAAGAAGATATTAGGATACAACATACATGATTTGAAAGGCATAAAACCTTCTATATGCACACATAGAATACTAATGGAGGAAGGATTTAAACCTTCAATTGAACCTCAGAGAAAACTGTATCCTACTATGAAAGAAGTAGTCAAGAAAGAAATAACCAAGTTGCTAGATGTAGGTATAATATATCCTATCTCGGATAGTCCATGGGTTAGTCCAATCCATGTGGTACTTAAGAAAGGAGGTATTACAGCAGTGAAAAATGAGAATGATGAAACTTTAGCAACTAGAACAGTTACGGGATGACGAATGTGCATTGATTATAGGAAATTGAATAGTGCCACCTATAAGGACCATTCCCTTTACCTTACATTGATAAAATTTTAGAGAGATTAGCCGGTCACTCATACTTTTGCTATCTTGATGGTTTTTTTTGGTTTCTATCCAATTTATATTCATCCATTAGACCAGGAAAATACCACTTTTACTTGTCCATATGGCATATTTGCTTTTAGACGAATGCCCTTTGGACTCTGTAATACCCCAACTACATTTCAAAGATGCATGACTAATTTTGTCGAAGAGATCATGGAGGTATTTATGGATGGATTTTCTATGTATGAGACTTCCTTTAATAATTGTTTAACTAACCTATCAGAAGTCCTAAAACATTGTGAGGAAGTAAATCTTATCCTAAATTGGGAAAAATGTCACTTTATGGTACAAGAAGTAGTTCTCGGACACATTATCTTGGAAAGAGGAATTGAGGTTGACAAAGCAAAGGTAGAAATCATTGAAAAAATGCCGCCACCTTCTTCAGTAAAGGAGATTCGGAGCTTTATGGGTCATGGGGGGTTTTACCAATGATTTATAAAAGATTTTTCCAAAATCTCTAAACCTCTGTGCGATCTTTTGGCTAAAGATGTTCAATTCGTCTTTGATGAGGAATGTTTAGACTCTTTTTGCAGGTTAAAGGAATCCTTGATATCAGCTCTGATTATTCAACCAACGGATTGGAATCTCCCTTTCGAGATTATGTGTGATGCAAGTGATTATGCAGTGGGAGCTATACTCGGACAACTGAAGGACAAAAGCCATATGTCGTTTACTATGCTAGTAGGACTCTTGATTGGGAACAGATGAACTACAACACAATGGAAAAAGAGTTTCTAGTAGTAGCATGGGCATTGGACAAATTCAGTGATTATTTGTTCGGATTGAAAGTCACCATCTTCACGGATCATGCAGCTATTAGATACTTAATAGCAAAGAAAGTTGCGAAGCTGAGATTAATCTGATGCATGCTACTCTTACAGCAGTTTGATTATGAGATCAAGGACAAGAAGGGAGTAGAGAATATGGTAGTTGATCATCTGTTTAGAGTCAAGCGAGAGGGTGACGTTAGATATGAGATGAAATTCCCAATCGAGGACTCATTTCCAGGGAAGCAAATGTTTATTGTGCATGATCGCAAGGTACCATGGTTTACAGATTTTGTTAATTACCTTGTGTGTAGAATTATTTCGCCCAATTTAAGCTACAACCATAAGAAGAAATTCTTTGCTGAGGTGAGAAATTATTATTGGGGGGAACTATTATTGTACAAGAAGTGCGGAGATGGAATCATGAGATGTTTATCGGAGGAAGAAATCCAAGTAGTACTGTTTCACTGTCATACTTCACCTTATGGGGGTCATTTTGGAACAGCTAAGACAATTGCTAAAGTATTAAAAGCGGGATTTTTTCGGCCTACGCTCTTTAAAGATGCGAGAGATTTTGTAATTTCTTGTGACAAATGCTAGAGAACTGGGAACTTGTCCATAAGGGACGAAATGCCACTCCATGGAATTTTGGAAGTTGAGATATTTGATGTGTGGGGCACAGACTTCATGGGACCCTTCCCATCGTCCTTTTCACATAAATACATCCGTTAGCAGTTGATTACATTTCCAAGTGGGTAGAGGCTGTTGCTGCACCGATCAATGATGCAAGAGTAGTGGTAAAATTCTTGAAAAAATTTATAATCACCAGATATGGAGCACCAAGAGTTCTCATCAGTGATGGAGGAACTCATTTCTGTAATCGATCATTGGAGGCACTTCTGAAGAAATATGGGGTCACCCATAAGGCAGCAACCCCTTACCATCCATAAACCAGTGGGCAAGTGGAGATCCAATCGGGAAATTAAGAGCATCCTGCAGAAAACAATGAACGCTACAAGGAAAGACTGGGCTTTAAAGCTTGATGATGGTCTTTGGGCTTATAGAACTGCTTATAAGACCCCAATTGGAATGTCCCCTTTCAGGCTTATTTTTGGAAAACCATGTCACCTACCTTTTGAATTAGAGCACAAGGCTTACTAGGCAATGAAAACTTTGAATTTCGACATGAAGGTAGCAGGCAAGAAGAGACTTTACAGCTGAATGAGATGGAAAATTGAGATGGGACTTGTACGAGAATGCGAAGATTTACAAAGAAAGGAAGAAAGCCTAGCATGACAAGCATATCCAGAGAAAAGAATTTAAGGAAGGAGATCTAGTGTTACTGTTCAATTCGCAATTGTGACTTTTCCCAGGTAAATTAAAATCACGATGGTCCGGTCCTTTTCAGGTGATATGAGTATTCCCTCATGGAGCTATGGAAGTGTGGAGCGAGAGTTCTGGAAGTTTCAAAGTCAACGAGTAGCGATTAAAGCCCTACCATGTTGCAGAAAAATTTCAAGGAGACAGTTACTCCTTGATGGATCCACTTCACTAACTACTAGAGAAAAGTCAAGCTAAGGACAAAAAATTAGCGCTTATTGGGAGGCAACCCAAAAATAAATAAATATAAATATTGGGAGGCAACCCAAAAAAAATAGAATTATAGAATATATATATATAATATATATATAATATATATATATATATATATATATAATAAGAATATAATAAAAAATATAAAATAAATTAAAAAAATAATAAATAAATATAAAAAAGGTAAATAAATA